GTAGCGCATCCCCATGCGCCAACAATTGTCCAGCAGTTGTCAATCGCGGTTCCAAGGAATGGATCGCTTCTCCACAAGAACTCTTAACCAACCTTGTGGCCAGTATTGGAGCACGTGGCAGAGCATGCTTTGCAGTCCGTAGTGTTCATACACCCCATCAAGAACCAGCTCCTCTCTTTTGAATGTCTACCATGAGTTGGAGAAGCCTCACCCATCGACCGCTTCAGACAGGGTATTTGAAGAAAAATGTCTTTTCCAATCGCCCCTTTGCGCTTTTCTGTTAGTAACTCTCTGCACTGTACCGCAACATTTACTTCTATATATGTGCCAAATTTGATCCACCTAGGTTAACCAGCAGTGAGATATCATGTGAAAGTTACTTTCGTCCTTAGGTTTTGCACACCAGTGTAGTCTCGTAGTAGGGGAACAACACACAGACGTGCGAACTCGGAGAATGAGTAAAGTTTCAAATTCGTTCCTTAGTTTTTTGTGGCTGGCAACCGCCGGAATCCCTTCTCTGCGTAAACTTTGTGTTGTGGTTTCAGCCTCTCACATTTTTTGCACACATTTAGGTCCTTGTTCTTGTTGTTGTCTTTGTTGTCCTTGCTGTCCTTGGGGGACATCAGTTAGGGACACATTTTTCAACGTGATGCTCGAATCTGCCTGGGAAGACCAGGAAATGGTGCAATTCTGGAAACAAAATCCGCCAGAAAACTACTCCAGCAGCCATTCTACAATCACGTGCTGCGATTTGAAAGAGGGAACTTTAGTCAAAAATGACCTCTTAATCACTACCTCGCACCTGCCACCTTATGCCTCCTAGTAATCGCCTGCGGAGTGACCTCACTTGATTGACTGTGCTGACTGCTGACCTCGCCTCAGAGACTGCAGTACTTTACTTTTTGCATGATTTCAGTGTTCTACTACAGCGATCTTTGCCAAGACAACGACACGTTTTCACCCAGATCGTCTCCATCCATGCTCTGTTCGTCAGCACTGCGCAATCACAGGCATCTCCGTCTGCTATTTGACAACACCATTTTCCAACCATTTTTACACCAGCCTCTGAATCTTCACACAACATCTCCCCCATGGCATTTCAGCCCCCTCTTTCTACACTGTGTTATGAACCCTTTACAAATGTTACTTACTACGACGCTTTGCGCTCAGCTACCTTACCGCTATGTATGGCTTCACCTTTATTACAGATACCTGTTGCTACGTTTGATGTTTCGACCCAATCCGAAGCGTCCACATTCCTCCACAGGCTGCACTTCCCGCGCTTCCTTCCTCAGCTCCCTCGCACCTTCCATCACCTTTTTTCAGCATCCAAGTCAAATTCCCATATCCCATGTTTTGCATCCCTACAATACCACCAAACATTCCCTGAACATCGACCATCCCAAATTCTATGTCACAAGACGAATACCTGGAACCAAGCGCTCGTTCACGATCTACCGAGCCTATACAAGCACAGTGAAACTTATAGATGCGTGCATTGTCTAAAGAAACGAAGAAGACGGGGAGAACGAGTGGCAGGAGGAAGATTTACCAAAGGAGGTGAAGAGAACAAAGGAGCACGCGCACATTATTGATTCATTATTTTTTTACATTCTGTTTAGGTAGTAGGGAACGAGTTCTTGTCCGACCCTTGTAGGACTGATCAATTCCTGGCAAATATACTGAAAAAGGAGGCAACCGACTTGTATACAAGGTAAGGCATGACTATCATAACATAACATATCCGACTCAAATCGTAGTGCTGAAATTGCAATCGTAATCGCAAGACTTTAGAAGATGCAATACATCGGGCGCGATCCTGCGAGTGCTGGAAAAAAGACAACTAAAGTCCATTTCGACCTATTGGCAGCGCCGTTTGAGGACGACAATAGTAAAGTCTTCGAAAACCCGATGAATTTCTTCTGCATTATTATTCTCTATCATATTGCAGAAGAAATGCAGGATTATATGAGGGCTTAAATCCATCGCTCAGTCATACCAAAGTGAGCAAATTTGATGAGTGGATTTTCAAACCTTCATTGCTCGGCCAAGTTTAGGAGTATTAGTGTATGGACGAACGGATCAGTAACAATGGATGAAGTCCCAGAATTTCGTACTCTACGTGACGGCTCCATTTCCCTGCATCATCACGCGCCACCATTCCACACTTATTTCTGCAACCATTCAGATCAGACAGATGTATCAATGGGACTTCCCTTGTCCCCTTGTTTTTTTTGTAAATTTGTATCCACTTCAAAAGGCGTGCGGAGCTGGGTTGCATAGCATTGTGGCAGACGGGATGCATTCACTACATCCCAAATCCCTTGGTTACCATGCACAGCTGTACTGCGTGCATGGCGTATGCTCCAATGGTGTCGAGATACCCCTGGTCTACTGCATCACCGCCAAGAAAACGGAGCGAACCTATCTGAAAATTTTCGAAGATGTCGAAGGCAAACATTGGTGATGATGCACCGCTGCGAGTGATCCTCGACTTTGAAAAAGCAGCGATCAAAGCTGCGCAAGAAAATTTTCCAAGGAAGTCTGTTGAGGGCTGCTCACTTTACCTTGCAGAGGCTTGTGGTGCAAATGGAAACTGGAGGAGCTAATAACGACAAATCTACCAGAAGCTTATCACAGGTAATGCATTACATGCCTAGCCTTTAAGTACTTCGCATTTTCCTAGTATATAGTATCCACATGAGATTCTTCAGGCGCCTAAGTGTTTTGACTGGTGTCGACCACCCATCCTTGAGTGCATTTATTGAGGCCCACCGCAAGCTGAACTACAAAGCATGGGCAGCCCTCAAACGTCTCTAGGAGGTTGCCATTCAATCATATTACCAGGATTGATCGTTTTTCATACAGTATCCTTCATACAGAGGCCAAACAATGCAAGGGCGCTGCAGAAACGAGACCACGAAAGAAGGGCGAAAATTGCAGAGGAAATGAGGTTGTTAGTGTTCTTGACCATCCTACTTACTAAGAAGCGCTTCGTCTGGTGTTCTGTCGTTTTGTCGTTCCGTCGTTTCGTATAACT